TGCCCTTTTTTACCCCACGGGGGGGGGGTTTCCCCCCGCGGGGGGAGGGGGGTTTTTTCCCCCCCAAAAAAATTTTTTCCCCCCCCCCCTTCTCTAGGGGGGTGCCCCCAAAAAAAAAACCCGGAAAAAAAAAAAAAGGGTCCCCCGTTCCCCGGGTTAAAAAAAAAAAAAGGTTTTTTTTAAAACGGGGGTCCCAGGGGGAAAAAAAAAATTCCCGGGGGCAACCCCCAAGGGGGGGGTTTTTGGGGGGGGGGGGGGGGGGGGGGGGAGGGGTTGGTGAATACCCTTGGGAGTGATATACCCCGAGGGGGGATGGATTTCTTTCCGAAACACTTCTACGTGTAAGACTACACATCATCATCGTATCATCATTGGTACATAAAGCAAACACGTGGTTCCGGCTGTGACTTGACACAAATAAATGTTTTCTGATCGAACCAGACGACGAAATCGACATCATCCCCAGCGACAACAGAACTGTAGTGGCATTTGACCCCTTCCTTCAGAATCAATCACCTTTGAGCTGTGTGGAACTCTCTTGTCCGACCACAGTAGTAGCAGGTTGTTGTTGCTTTCCGTTGTTCTCTTTCTCTTGATTAACGCTTTCCAAGCCAACTCACAATATCCCACGCACACACGATCAGGGATCGTCTGTACGCACACACCGACGACGCCAGTGTAATGGTATTTGACCCCTTCCTTCAGAATCAATCACCTTTGAGCTGTGTGGAACGCTCTTGTCCGACCACACACAGTAGTAGCAGGTTGTTGTTGCTTTCCGTTGTTCTCTTTCTCTTGATCAACGCTTTCCAAGCCAACTCACAATACCCCACGCACACACGATCAGGGATCGTCTGTACGCACACACTGAACAGAAGGGCACATGTCTCGGCATAAAGCCCTGATCTAGCATGACGTCACGTCTTAGCATCCGACGGCGCCAAATGACCATGATCAACCACGATCACATGTATGTCTACCTCCAAATACCATAACAGAACCGTCTCTGGTTGCCACTCTAGGACACCATAATGCACTCAAACTCGCCGTGCCACACAAAATGCGAATGTAATGTGTGTGTACCGTCGTCGTAAGACGGTATGCATAAGATACGGAATGTACAGTAGTCTACATAAAATCAGTCCATATCTCATCGCGACCCAATGAACGGATCGGATTCATTCTTGGGTGTGAGAATTTGACTCTGATTTGGTGCGCACCGTAGTTGGGAGCAGGGTGTCCAGGGAGCAAGACGCTGTTCTTGGTCATGAACGCATGGGTCTCTGGGAAGTCCTGGACACTTTCGTCCATCGCGCTACCACCAAGAGTGGTAGCAGTGGAACCAAGACTGTCCGCCACTGATCCTTGGGCGATCATTGGGTAGCCCAGGCAACCCTGCGCACGGAAAAACAAGTCGTCAGACTACAGTGTAGTAGTATAGTAGCTTGAAGGCACCTGGACGCAATAATGCACGATGATACACGTAGCAATAGCCGTGTCGAGTGTAATTCCGTGACTCCAGGACACAGTACAGCAGCATCGTTGCGAAACAATCATTGCCGAAACTCGCGCGCTGGGGCAGAACAAAAATATGAAAAATTAAAAAATTGAAATTGAAAGCCCACTGGCTGCAGACCGCAGACAGACGTACGATATTACGAATGTGGTATGCATACGCCAACCAATGAGCTACGCCAACCGGCTAACCAATCAATGAGCAACGTTTACACTGACTCTAACTGGCTGCAACATGCCATCAGCAACAGCACCTGAAACATCATGGGCGCACGTGCTGCGTACATGCTGAGCACCCGCGGGAGGAAACAAAGACATAGTCTATGCATAGATATCTATATGGTTCGGCGGTAAGAAACTCAAGGGAGGCAGCCGAATGCGTATGCATGATGCATGCATGCATGCGATGCGTCACTCATATGCATACACCTAGCATGGTACTGGTAATGTATGTATGTAGTTTGTCCGACAGTTCACTACAAAATCGAGCGGCGAGCGTTGCATGCAATGCGCTTGGTCATGTTAAAGAAAACGTGCAGAGTAGAGGTAGGTACCGAACATGTTCAGCTAGTACTCAAACGTTCACCCGCGTGTGTGTGTGTCTAGTCTATAGCTGTGCCTTCTGCGCAACCAAGCCCTGAGCCTCCTCACTCGTCGGTGTGGCGCCCCAGCTAGGAAGATTGTCGGGTCCATCGGTGGCGATGATGAGATGAGAACGGTCTGCCAGGAGGCTCACTTAGCTCGGACCCATGCGGAGAGCTACTACTGGTTGTGTGCCACGGAAGAACCTTGAACAATGTCAACGATCATCAAACGCATGATCTGTCGTGTGTGGCGACTCTCGAACAGGGCGGAGAAGTCGTAGAGAGAGAAGAGAA